CACGTTATTGATTATTAGACAAACAAGAAAAAGTTAGAAAGTCAAAATTTCAGAGCTGTCTTACAACTCCAATCTCATGCTAATCTCAAAAAGAGATCTCGAGCCGCTGTTCCTTTTCTCCAATCGCTCATCCAAGCAACAAGAACAACAGCATTAAAATAACGGTTATAATAACTGTGACAATTATGATAACCCACGATACCTTCCACCCTAACAAATGCAACGCAAAGCAGACGAAAAACAAAGCACAACGTGGGCCTTCAGCTTTATTCGTGCCACGCCATTAATAAATTATTATTTTGCAAAATTTTAAATATCATACATATGATATTTAAAGTTTATTATTAAATTCTGATAATGGGTATATAACTATTGCAGTTAAATTAAATTTTGACTGAAAGTAAAAGTTTTGCTAAATAAATTTGATTCATTTGTTTGCACAGTAATTCATTATATGTATAATGCCTTGCGCAAAATCAGCAACTTAAACATAATAAAGGTAATAAAGGAGAATAGAGTTGCGTTTATAATATGTAATTATTTTTTGCAAGTATTTTCTATATTTCTAACTTTATGTAATTTTTTTGTAAAAAAATGATATTTTTGTCTAATAACACAGCGGTGACGCAACTTCTATCTCTGCTGAATGCAACCGCTAATGTTGCAGCAGCAAGTGGCACGACCAAGCTGAACGCACATGTCCTCACAGAGAGGCTTTCAAATCGGAGCCTCTTGCCAAACAAGCTTCGGTGCTTGCTTGACCGATGGCGAGCAGACCGACGTTTCTCTGGCAAGCCATGCGGCTCGTGTCGCGTCATTTGTTCATTGTCGCACGCGCGGCTGCGAGGCTACTTATTCACGTTATTATCACGATCTACGCCACTCCACCCCGTTTCTCTGTTCTTTCATTCTTTTACTATAATATTTTGTTCAACATCCTTCAAACTTCTGATTCAAAGCGTATTGTTCTCAAATCGAACATACGCGTTCGTCGTGTGATCGAAGAAAATGCTCAACTTGAATTACATTAGAGTTTTATTTTATTTTGCCATATACAAAGTCTTATAATTTTGTAGATTGATTATCCATCTTTTAGAAAAATATATTTTCTTAACAAACTAAAACAAAAATTAAATTTAAACAAATGTCCATGTTTTTCATCTATAACTATATGATTTGTTATAATAAAAATGTCATAAGTGTCACTATTATACGGTTAAAAATTGTAGCATTAAAATCTATAAAGAAACAACGAATTGCTGAGCGAAATTTTTTTAAAATCAGATTAATAAAAATAACTCCTTATTTTATATTTAAATCGAATCCTCTTTCTCTAAATAAAACGTATTCAATTTAAAGAAATTCTATAACGAATTTGAAATTTATAATCTTTTGTTAGCGACTTTTCGTGTCACTTTATGAATAATGACT